GTGACTCATTTCCTTTTCCTTCTAATTGGTTTTGTGTGTGTGTGTGTGTGTGTGTATGTATATTATGTGTATGTATATGCGTATGTGTGTGTGTATACACTTATCCCTTTTACATCAAGGCATTCCCTATCACGGTTTCAATATATTGCAGGTCAGCAATTTCCCATAAGAAGTTAAATGGGAATTTTGGGGGAGTTTTGCGGAAGCTACAGATGATGTGCAAAGGCCAGCAGATGACCCAGAAAAAGTTTAGAACTCACAAATGCATAAAATACACGTATTGCATATCAACATGTTTTATCTTTCAAGGTACTGTAAATACCCCATAAAAGAAAAAGAACTTCTTCTCTGGTATTAAGAATAGCTTGTCCAAGGCCACAAAGCTGGTATGTAAGTCAGGACTTGAGCCCAAGTCTTCCAGGTTTTGAGGCAAGAACTAGGAAATACATCATTGAGGATGTGATCCTCATGGAAGAGGGATCTGCCTCACAGAGGAGGGATGCCACCACTGTCACTGATGGGCAGCCTGGCTCCTGGTGCCACCTGCCCTGCATCCAGTCACAATCACAATCCACAATCCAGGGAAACAAACGTGATGGAGATATGACCTGGCACAGTCTCGGGAGGCGCTAGAGCCTCTGTCTCTTCAGTCACAGTTACAGCAGACTCAAGAAAGTTCCAGCCACCAGAGTCATTGGCCCTGTGAAATGTTCAACATCAGAAAGTGATGTGGTTTTATTACTGGAGGTGACATTAAAGAAGATATATAACCATTTTCTTTACTGCTCTACCCTAGACCTTGGGGCCTTTTCATCAAATGTGGTTGATCTCCCCCTATTAGAATGTGAGTCCCTAAGAACAAAGACTACGTGTTGAATTTTATTCCTTTTATGCCTTTTATTCCTTCTTCCCTCCTTATTTTCTTCCTTTTTTCTTTCCTTCCTTCCTCCCTCCCTCCCTTCCTTCTTTCCTTCCTCCCTTCTTTCTTTCCTTCCTTCTCCCCTCCACCTTCCCTCCTTCTCTATCTTTCTCTGTATATATGTATGCATAGATATGCATACACATGTACACATACTTTGTGTGTCGTAAATTCATATATGTAGCTCATATATGTATTTGCATGTATCTGTTTACATATTTGTTAGCTGTGTGTATGCATGTGTGTATGTGTATTGTGTGTATGTGTGCACACAAAATGTATATGCCTGAGCACGTGTGCATATGCCTTACTTCTAATTCAGATGCTAATGATTAGAACGTGAGCTTTCAACCTTGTCTTTGTGATCAGACACAGATTAACAAGGCATTGTCCATCAGCCTCTAGCTATGGTTTTATCAGCAGATGGGCTTATAGGAAATTCCTAACAATTTATTCAGCTTTGTTATTTTGGATTTAGATATAAAGCATTTCTACTTTCTTTGAAATGACCATTTCCTTTAACTCCTTCATGTGTTGTGGAAGAAACCACTTTGCAATTGTTTTTAGAAACGAAGAACTATATTCTGGAAAAGGGGTCTCATCCCTTTAGAACAATTAGAAGCAGGCTGAGAGGGAACTGATGGTCTTCTGGGGGTAGTTAATAGGTAATTTTTAGTATTCCATGGAAATTGGTTTTCCAATGATGCCATCAAAGGGTAAAAAATTAAGCAGGAGAATCAGGTCAGAGGAAGGAAAAAAAACCCCTCCTAATTAGAAAAGGAACCATAATAGGGAAACAAAGCACACACATAACTGATTTTTATTCCTTTTTTTCTTTCCTGATACTGCAAAAAGGAAAGATGCAGAAAGTTGATCCTCTTTCACTCACACATCTCCCCCAACTCCAGTCCATACGCCATTCAGCCTCCAAAAGTGATTTTCCTAAAGCACAGATTTGACAGTGTCATCTCATAACTCACCCCCACCACACAAAGATGAGTCCTCCTGATTCCAAGCCTGCTGCTCTATCCCCTGTGCCAATAAACTGTAGTGGCTCTCTATTGCCTCCAAGATCAAATATAAAACCCTCTGTTTGACATTCAAAACCTTTCACAACCTAGCCCCCATCACCTTTCCACTCTTCTTACATCTTAAACTGTCCACCCCTCACCACCACCTCCACGTACTCTTCAATCCAGGGACACTGGTCTCCTTGCTTTTCTTCAGACAAGAGATTCAATTTCTCCACTCTAGGCATTTCCTCTGACTGTCTCCCAAGTTCTCCCTCCTCATCTCTGCCTCCTGGCTTCTTTCAAATCCCAGCTAAAACCCCACCACCTGTAGAAAACCTTTCTTGATCTCCTTTCATTCCAGTGCCTTCCTTCTGTGGATTACTTCCTTTTTATGCTACATACAGTCTGTTTAAACATAATTGTTCATATATTGTCTCCCCCATTAGACTGTCAGTTCCTAGAGGGGAGGGTCTGGGTTTTTTTTTCTTTTTTGCCTTTCTTTGACTCCCTCATGCTTAGCACAGTGCCTTGCATATAGTGTTTGCTTGATTAATGTTAATTGACTGACCCATAAAAGCAGAGAGAAATTAGTTGGTTAGTAAGAACTGAGCATTAGCTAGCAATATGAGATTAAGCATAGGAGAAGGTCATTTCTATGGTCTTTTTGGCAAGCTGCTTTCAAGTCTGGGAGTGCCCAAGCCAACTACAGTGACTCTTCATCTCAAGCAGATTCCATACTGGAAACACCACAAAAGAGAAGTGTTAAGAGTGTATTTCAAAACAGAATGAGGTTACAGTTGAAGTTTAGCATAAGAACTTATGTCACTGTAGTTAGATGTTTGAATTTCTTTTTAGCATCCTCAATTCTTCCTTCTTGTCTACAGTGAAGCAAAAAACCCAAGGTAGTACTCTAAGGCTGAAGGATATGTGCACCTGGGAGTCAGGGCATGCCCAAGAGGAGGGAGTGCTTAACTTGCTGACAACCTTGAGTATTTTCTCTTTGCTGAAGAGTCCTACCCAGGATAGAATAGGGTACGACTAGACAATATAGGTCCCTGGGAGAGGTAGGGATCACCAGAGAGGAAAGGAGAATTATCCTTATTTATTAGTGGACTTATTAGTAGGTCCTTTGACTTTTTGTTCTATATTGTTAGCTTGAATGCTTGCATGGGAGCTGTGTTCTCTTTCTTTTTTTCCTTTTTTTCTTTTCTTTCTTTTTTTTTTTTTGAGAGAACTGAACATAAACCAAATTCTGATGTACTCTGGGAAATCTTTGGATGGGGAAAACAAAAAGGGAATGACTCAGTGAGAAAGAAGCTTCTAAGATTAAGCAGAGTCCATGTAGACTCCAATGCTCTGGTTCTGGGCAATGAGCTACCTGAAGAAGGGAGAATTCTTTTATCAGCAGTTTGTAAAAGGCTTAGGAAGGCTCAGTAGTATCACCATATTTTATAGCCTGTTCTAAATTATGGAGTTATATTTGTGCCATGCTCCCTACTTCACCTAATTGCCTCATGTACAGCCTAACTCTATGTAAAGCTACTGAATTCTATTTGTTGTGAATGGTGGTGTGGTGAGGTCCAGTCAAGTTCTGTTGTGAAAAATAATCATTTATTTAAGCATTTATTAAGTGCTAAATGACAAACATGATGGTTTCAGGAAAATCTGGAAAGATTTCTATGAACTGATACAAAATGAAGTTTGCAGAACCAGGAGAACATTGTACACAGTAACAGCAAAATTGTAAAGATGATCAACTATGAAAGACTTCGCCACTCTGATCAAGAGAAGGATCCATGAAAGTTCCAAAGGTCTCATGATGAAAAATGCTGTTCACTTCCAAAGAGAGAAATGATGAAATCTGAGTGCAGATTGAAGCATATTTTTTACTTTGTTTTTGTTGCTTTTGTGTGTGTGTGTGTGTGTGGTATCATGTGAAAACCATGGTCAACATCCTGTCCTTATTTTGAAAATTTCAAACACTATTGTGAGAATTCCAGCAGGTTCTGTTGTTGGTTGTGTCATTTCAGATGTGTCCTACTCTACATGACTCCATTTTGGAGTTTTCTTGGCAAAGATATTGGAGCGGTTTGCCATTTCCTTCTCCAGCTCATTTTACAGAGGAAGCTGAGGCAAACAGGTTCAGTGACTTGTCTAGGGTCATATAGCTAGTAAGTGTCTGAGGCTGGATTTGAACTCATGAAGAGGAGTCTTCCTGATTCCAAGCCCAATGCACTCGCCATTGCACCACCTAGCTGCCCTACAGGTTCTACTAAATGCTAATACAAAGAAAGAAAAAAGCATTTATTAAGTACTTGTTATTCACTAGGCACGGTGCTAAGCAAAAGGTTTCACTTAAATTAATAAAGATGAAAAGGCAGCATGTCAAAAGAGTGCTGGTCAAGAAGTCAAGAGACTTGGGTTCTATGGCCAGATCTCAAGCTGTAACTAAAGTAGAGAGACTGGGGCTTTTGCCAAGGCATTGAAACCTAGGGGGCTCTGACAACACTTACATTTATTCCTTTGATTGTTAGAAACAACTGAGCTTAGCACCTGGTTAGTAAGAACAACTAATGAAGGCAGGAAAGTACACGATGGCTAGTTTTTTCCTCCCTTACTTAGCCCCGTCCCAGGGTGAGGCCAGACTGATCCTCCCAGTGATGACCTAATTCAATCCAATCCAATAAACACTTATTAAGTGCCTACTATGTGCCAGGCATTGTGCTAAGTGCTGGGGATACAATTAATATATTACTGACCTCCTATGCAGGGATATCTTGAGGTCTTTCTCCCCACAGTGTAATATTGGAGGTGCTGTTCTCTTAATTTGGGTGTGATTTGAAGATGAATGCAATGAGGCATTTGCAAGTTGTCAACCATTAACAAGTTTACTTTTCCCTAACCCAGTAAGTGGGCAGCTAGGGTGTCACACTGGATGTAACAATGGCCCTGGATTCAGGAGAATCAGAGTTCTCAGACACTTGTGACACTGGACAAGTCATTTAACCTTGTTTGCCTCAATTTCCTCATCTGTAAAATGAGCTGGAGAAGAAAATGGCAAACCACTCTAGTACCTTTGCCAAGAAAACCCCAAATGGGGTCACAAAGAGTCAGACACGACTGAAATAACTGAACAACAGCAACTTTTCTGCAGAACATTGAGCTAAGACAACTATTTACTGTACAAGCTAAATATTATATTTGTACAATAATATCGATCTTCAAGGTCAGAAAATGGGTGGATTATCTATTTGGTCAAGCATGTAACAAGATATTAATGCTTAATAAATGTAATGTGATAATTGTGCTCTTGCAGACCAGCTGGATCTTTAACCAGGCAGGAAATGTGTACGTAGGGTCAAAAGCCATCCTGGTTTCTTTTGCCACCATCTTGGATGCGGTGGTCTGAGTGGAGCCAAACAGCTGCTCTCCCACATTAAGAGCCATGCACTTCCTCCTGGGGGACAGCACATACCAGGTGAGGCACTGGGGTCAAGGTGAAGCCAACTTTAGCAGTGAGGTCAAGGTCTGCTGGCTCTATCCCTGGGGCAGGCTTAAATGTAAACTTCTGGAGTAAGCCTACAAAAATCAGGAAGAGTTCCATCTTGGCTAGAGATTCTCCAATACAAACCCGACGTCCTGGATAAGGAAGACACCAACAAATGAGCAGCTTTGCTGATGGGTTTTGAAATAATAATAGTTAGCATTTATATAGCCTTTAAGGATTGCAAAGCACTTTAAAAATATTATCTCCTTATAGGTGCTATGTTTATCCCCGTTTTACAGATGCAGAAGCTAAAGTTGAGTGACTTGCCCTGAATCACACAAGCAGTGTCTGGATTTGAACTCAGTTCTTTCTGAAGTCAGGTCCAGTGCTCTATCCTGTTCCCTACCCAATGCCCCTAGTTACCTTCAAAGCTCATTTCAGACAACACTTCTGTTTTGATTTTTTTTTGGAGGCAATTGAGGTTAAGTGACTTGCCTGGGGTTACACAGCTAGTAAGTGTCTGAGGCCAGATTTGAACTCTCGTCCTCTTGGCTCTAGGGCTGGTGCTGTATACACTGCACCACCTAGCTGCCCACAGATACCACTTCTTACTTGAGATCTTTCCCCATCTCCCCAGTTGCTACTCCCTACCACCCTCCTCAAAAAATTACCTTGCATTGATGTCCCTATTACCTATACAGGATGTCCCCAAAGTCTTAGTACAGTATAAACTTTAATGAGTTTACAACCACATTAATGCTTTTGGGGCAACCTGTATTTTGTATACACTTATATGTATACAAAATTTCCTTCAATAGAACATAAGCTCCTTGAGGGCAGGGATTGTTTCACTTATGAATTTGTATCCCCAGAGCCTAGCACAGTACCTAAACATAAATGCTTGCTGATTAATTGATTGATTGATCCCAGATAAAATAGAGTGAGGAAGGGCATGTATTAGATTATAAGATCCTTGAGGATGTAAGATTGTAAAATGCCTTTGAAGGCAGCTAGGTGGTGCAGTGAAAAGAGTGCCGGGCCTGGAGTCAGGAAGACGCATCAACCTGAATTCAAATCTAGCCCCAAACACTTACTAGCTGTGTGATCCTGGGCAAGTCACTTAACCCTGCTTGCCTCAGTTTCCTCATCTGCAAAATGAACTGGAGAAGTAAATGGCAAACCACTCCAGTGTCTTTGCCAAGAAAACCCAAAATGGGGTCACAAAGAGTCAGACAAAACTGAACAACCACAAAAATGGGAATAATAATACTTGCAATACTTATTTCAAAGGCTTTTTATGAAGGAAGTGCCATGTAAACCTTGAAGCCTAACCTTTTAGTACTCTGGGCAATTTTTTTAAGACTATAAATTTCAGAACAGGTGTTGACATATCAATGGAGGTAATTTCCTCACTGGGAATACCACCATTGATGTGGTACAAAATTTTTTTCTGTCCTAATTTCATAGGTGGGATAATGACTAAAGCATGGAGAGATTAATTGACTTGGCTAAGTTCACATAGCCAATTTAGAATAGAGATAGAGCTAAAACCTAGCCATTTTTTAAGAGGCTACACAGTGTGCTCATGTCAAGATTTTGTGCCATGTAAGTTTCAAGGTACAATGGATCTTTAGCTCATAGATGCCCATTACCTAAGAGTCCTGAGTATGCACCAGGCTATACTCTAGGCACAGGATAAGAGAGAAACACACAAGAATCTGGGTAGACCTCTGATTGGCCCTAGCAGACAGGAGTTAACTCCACTGACTTCCCTGAGAGAGGCCTCTAAAATAAGCCTTTGACATTTAGGGACATTTCCATTCACTTCTTTAAACCCAGCTCCATTTTTATGCCAAAATATTTTGCATTTGTCTGTTGTAGTTGACTGGCCTCAATTACCCTATGCCCAATGCAAAAGTTGGAGCATAGTATGAGTTCCCTGCCACCCTAGCTTGGACTACTTTGATGAGCTAAGGCCAATAATACAAATGTGTATTATTATTATTATTATTATTATTATTATTATTATTATTATTATAGTCATTGAGAGGCAGTGGGGGTGGGGTGGAAGGAGGCTTGAAGCCTCAGTGTGCCAATTAACTCACTGGGTCTTGTTTCCTGCATTTGCTTTAATTGACCAGAGCAAGGCCCAAACCAAGATTTCTTTTAACAATCATGAGGACCATGAAGGGTTCCTTCACTCACATGGCTATCACTGTCCACTGTCCAACCCTACAGCTGGCACTCAGACTTTTGTCTGATTGTGTGTTGGAGTAAACTTTCTCAGTGTTTAGTCAGCTATGAAGTGGTTGGAGAATTAAACTCCCCAAAGATAAGGAGAAATAAGTCCTGAACCAAAAACTGATTCTTTCTCATTTGTGCACAAAGGAGCAGCATACACAGAAAAAAGGCATTGTAAATGTCTCGTCCAACACTAGACACACTAGGCTAACCCAAGGCAAGTGGTTGGTCTTACCCACCATTAGGCTGCCACAAGGTAAGGGGATACCAGTATCCATATGGGATTGGTACAGAGTAAACTTCCTGCCCACTCCCACTTAGGTAACCTGTTAAAAGCTTGGGAATTCAATTGAGAATGTCCAAAACTACAGCAGTAGAGTTCAGTTCAGACTGGAATCAGTACACGGAAGCAAATTTGGCTAGATGAAAATGGGACCTTTGATTATTCTTAGCTGTGCATGCTAAAGAAAACAAAACAAAATAGATTTAAAGAACTAGATCCCAGGTAAATGAATTATTGGTGCTATAGGGCTGGACTTTCTAACCAAGACTGCCTCTTATTACCAAGTCCATTAGAGATGCCAGTCCACAAAAGACTTCCATAAAATCTGAATTTCTCGAAGACCATGGCACCCTTAAAAAACCACTTTTCTAGGGGAAAATCAGAAGGAAAAACTAAAGATTTTGGCAGGCCCCACAAAGGCAGCAATGCAAGCAGTGAGGTGGGCTTAGTGGAGTTTCCAGTTCAGAAGTTCTCTAGCATGCACAAGGTCATTTTATGTTGGAGAACTTTGAAGGGGAGTACTTCGACACTCAAAATAAACTTCGGTGAGACAGCACATAAAGGGAGCTCAGAAGGGCAGGGAAGACTGATTTAGCCTAAACACAGCTCTCCCAGATCTCCCTAATATTAAGCAGGGATTTACTCTCATTGGCTTTTTATTAGATTTTCAGCATGAGATAATATTTAAACATAAACTGATTCCTCATTTCCCTTTACCTTCACTATTTTCTGAGGTCCATCTCATCTTATTTCTTAATTATTTTCTAGCCTAACATTTCATTGCATAGTATATTTCAGTCTAGGTGACTTTGCTACTAATTTAGCTACATAATTGAATTCTGTTGAATCATTTCATACTGGCTTCAGTTCTGCTTATTCTCTAGATAGGGCAAATCAACTTTTACTAAAACAATAAATCTATCACCCTCCAGAAAGGAGAAAGAGGTGTGTGCTGTTTGCACTTAATCTTAATCCTAGCCACACACTTCGCAAATTCACTAAAGGGTTTTAGCAGTTATCATAATTTGGAAATTTACAGTGAAGATATTACATTTCAGTTACAATTTTTAGTCTCTAATTAATTTGTAATGCCACAAATTTCTACAAACCAGGAAAAAGATTTCCTTCCTGTTCTTGTCTGTCATTTATCTCTGCAATCTCCAATCTGGCCAGTTTATGTACTTGAAGGAACAATCCTGATATTGTCATAACCATGTCCCACCTTTTTCTTTTCATAGCAAATTTCTATAATCAGGGCAGGTGAAAAGTGGAAGTTTTGTTATTGCAATGATAAACCTATTAACTAATAGATTAATACTAAAACATCTGAGTTACTATAATAGGATGCAATTATGAAAGATTTTGCTATTTTAATCTGAATTTGTGGTCAACTCCATATCATAAGTAACTAAGTAAATGAGTTCTCAGGCTTACCATCCCCCTTGCTAATAGCTATATATATTAAATCCTCAAAGTACCTCATTCCTTCAAGATGATATGAGGAATACACACACACACACACACACACACACACACACATGTTGACAAATTTTAGCTGAATGACTTAGGGATCTCTGCAAGTGACTTGGAACCAGAAATGCAGATCTACTAGGAGGAGCTCCCTTCAGATCTGCCCTGAGAACCAGGCCTATTCCAAAATGTCCAAGCAAAGATGTTTGCAGGGACCAGATGACTATATGGAGACATCTAGGACTCAAGATGAAATTTGCTGATTAAATGAACATCAGGATTAGGTTACCAGTTTACAAGGAGACTTCATGTTACTTAATATTAATGATCATTGCTATATTACTTCAAGGGAAGCTAGGTGATACAGTGGATAGAGCACTGGCCTTGGAATCAGGAAGACTCATCTACATGAGTTCAAATCCAGTCTCAGACATTTACTAGCTGTGTGACCCTGAGTGAGTCACTTAACTGTTTGCCTAAGTTCCTCATTTGTAAAATAAGCTGGAGAAGGAATTGGCAAACCATTCCAGTATCCTTGCCAAGAAAGCTCAAATGGGGTCAGGAAGAATGGGACATGACTGAGAAAAAAAATGACTCAACGACAACTGTATTACTTCAACTTCTTGTTTGTTTCTTTGTTTCATATTTACTGAGTTTTCTTGGTGATATGTAAATCTCTCCTCTCAAATTAGTATGTGGTGAGCCCTCTAAGTGGTTTAATTTGTAATTTGACTTAGTTAACCTACAGAGCCTATTTAACAAGGTTTGTCTCCTTAAGGGATTATGACCCTGCTAAACTAATTTTAACTTTTATGACATTGAAGATAACATAGGATTATGATTCTTGGAATACTCATGGCCACAGTACAATTGTTTCCTGCTGTAAATTTTAAATCCCCAAGTTTATTGCCACTAATGCTTACTCAAATTGATTTGGCACCAGCAGCAGAGATTAGGATGATGCAGGTGAAGATAGAGAAATGATATAGATCTGAATGTGGTACTACACCATGAGTATGGTGAGCACCAAAGTGGGGACTGTACAAAGTCAGCCATTGGGACAGTCAACCTGAGGGACCCCCATGTTTTAACCTTGCTAAACCTTTGAGTACTGTGCTCAGTCAGCCTGCCAGAGAGGGTAAGTCCCTTTAGGATTAATCCCTCTCCTGCAGACTAATCCCATCTCCTGTGCACTACTCCCATGACCTGAGGGCTCATCCCATCTCCCAGTGATGCTGTAATGGGGAGGAATTGAGGTGACAGTCATTCTACCTCCTCATTGAGAGGTATACCAATCAGAATTGCTTTACCCTTATATGTAAATTGTTTTATTCTTGTTTATAAAAGCAGCTCAAAGTTGGAATTTGGTGGCTGGCCCCACTCCAACTGCTTGATGCCTTGGTGTGCCAATAAACTTTTTTTGTCTAAAAAAAAAAGGCAGTAAAGGCAGAGTGGGGCAGTGGGGCAACTGGAACTTGAGGAGGAGTTGCCAATCTGCATTGGTGGAAGGAATTCACCGCCCTAGTGAAATCACAGGCATGGGCCAAGAAAAAACATTATGTTGAGCATCACCCAACATTAATAGCTCATGTTTCTACAGTGTCTTATACATACAAAACACTTTCTGCATGACAGTTCCTTTGAAGTGGATGGTACAAATGTTATTAAAAATCCTGTTTTATAGATCAGAAAATAGTCAACGATCAATAAAGTACCTACTATGTGCCAGGCACTGTCCTTAAGGCTCAGACAGGTAAGATGAGTTGCCCAAAGCCACACAGCTTAGTGGAGGCAGGAATCAAAAGTGGGTCTGTCTTCAAGGCCAGGACTCAGTATACCACACAACATTCCATCTCCCAGCTCTATACTTTTGCATGAGCTAACACACACACACACACACACACACACACACACACACACACACACACACACACACACCCAGAATGCGTCTCCTCTTCACCACTACTTTGAGAATTCCTATTTTCCCTCAGTTGGTTAATAAATATTAAGCACCTACTATGTACCAGCCATGAAGCTATGTGATGATACAAAAAAAGGGCTAAAGACAGTCCCTGCCCCCAAGGAGCTCACAATGTCAAATACCACCTTTTATATGAAGCTTGGAGCAGCTAGATAGTTTAGTGGATAGAGTACTGGGCTTGGGGTTGTTGTTCAGTGGTTTTTCAGTCATTTCCAAACCTTAAAGACCCTTCTTGGCAGAAGTCCTGGAGCTGTTTGCTATTTCCTTCTCCAGCTCATTTTACAGATGAAGAAATCGAGGCAAACAGAGTTAAGTGACTTGCCCAGGGTCACACAGTTAGTAAGTGTGTGAGCTAAATCAGGAAGACCTGAGTTCAAATCTGGCCTCAGATACTTACTAGCTGTGTGACCCTGGGTAAGTCACTTAACTTTATTTGCCTCCATTTCTTCATCTGTAAAAATGAGCTGGAGAAGGAAATAGCAAACTGCTCTAGAATCTCTGCCAAGAAAGTTCCATGGATAGCATTGGCATGCTATGGCCCACAGGATCATGAAAAGTCAGACACAACTGCATGACTAAACAATAGCAAATATGAAACTTTGCTTGATTCCCTTACTTATTAGTTCTGCCTCCCCATATCAACTGATTAATATTTTATATTTACTTTATGTGTACATGTCACCTCCCCTATAGAATGTAAGCTCTTTAAAATCAGAGTCTGTTTCATATTTTTGTCTTTGTATTCCTGATAGCCTGATAGGGCCTAATATATAGTAGGTGCTTGATAAATGCTTGTTGGTGGATTGATTGCTATGTTATCTATGTATATATTAGAGATTCACCCATAAGTACAGGTACCCATATGACTCGAAAGAGAAATTTCAGCTCAGCTGATTTGTCCTGATTTCACCCAAGTGTAACTTCTCAAAGTCTGTAGGAAATTATGGATATAGTAAGGAATTCTCTTTCCCCTACATCTGCTTTCCAAAGTTTCTTTTTCTTCACAGGTAGCTCCCTGAAGAGAGTCTAGAACCACGTGTTTTCTCTCAAAGGAGGAGGCAAAAAGAGCATTTATCCTCTCCAAAGCTTTTGTACCAACTCTGTCCCTCACACAGGTAGAGTCATCAGTCTCTCCACCGATGAAGAGTTTCATGCAAATGTTCAAGCTTGAGACCTGAGTTACCCTAAAATGAAGTACCCAGAACTGAGCATACTACTACTACACATGTGATCTGACCAGGGCAAAATACTGTCATCTCTATCATCCTGACTGCTTTGCCTCTCAATTTAATCTAAAATTCCTTAATGGAAACTTTCTTTAATGCCATATGACACTGTTCATTTTTATGGAGCCTACAGTCTACTACGACCCTGACATCTTTTTCAGCAAGTTGCTATCTAGTCTTGTGTCTCTTATGATGTACTTGGGATGTTGATTTTTTTTAATCTAAGTATATGTTCTAACCTGAATTCTGACACTGTCATCCAACAGCATCTATAAATTTAATAAGCGTACTAGTTATGCCTTTTATTCGAGTAATTAATACAAATGATCAGTAGCATAAGGCCTAGCAAAGATCTCTGGGGTACTCCACTGAAGAACTCCTTCCAAGTTGACATCAACCTATAATAACTACTCTTTAGGTCTAGACTAATTATACTGCCTACCACATATCTCTTTTTAAAAAGAACAGCAGGGAAATTTTCTAGTGTTGAATGCAGCTAGCTATGAGCTGACTTCTCTCAAAGCCCAGAGCCACAAACTGCTTGAGGATGGTCAAGTTGTTCCAAACCAGTTAACATTGGTTCTGTGGTTTCTTCAGAAACTCCCTGTTGCCGTACCTGGGGACTGCTGTCTTGGCCAGATGTCACCATGCCCCTAGTCTCCCCAGTCATGAGGCTGTGCCTTCCTTGAGACTCCCTCTCTGTTGAAGCGTATCTAAATCCTTCTGCCCCTCTTGGTGCTGTGCAGTATCCCAAATGGCAATTCCTTGCCTCTACTAAAGACCCTTGTTACTGTAGCTTTTGTAGTCTTTTATTTAGAGTTGGTGTTAGTAATAAGCATGTTGGTAAAAACGTGTGTTGGAACTCAGAGCATATTCAGTATGGCTAACTCAGTCAATAGGATATAGTGGAAGATGCTTTGGCCTGGGAGTCCAGCGACCTGGGTTCTGAGCCTGGCCATGACACTTTTGTACTGGGTGACCCAAGAGAAATAACTTAGTATTTCTGAGCCTTAGTTTTCACATCTGTAAAATGAGAGTAATAATTCTTATACTACTTAGGGGCAGCTAGGTATTGTGGTGAATTGAGTGCTGGGTCTGCCATCAGGAAGATGTGAGCTCAAAATAGGCTTCAAACACTTCCCAACTATGTGACCCTGGGGCAAGCTATATAATCTCTGTCTGTCTCACTTCCCCCAACTTTAAAAGGAGGATAACATTAGAACCCACCTCTCCAGGTTATTGTGAGGATTAAATGAGATAAATTTATAAAGCGCTTAGCACAGTGCCTGTCATATAGCAGGCATTTAATAAATTTAATAATTTAATGGATTTAATAAATGCTTATTACTTTCCTTTGCTTCTTACTTTACAGAATTATCAGTATCATTATCACCATTACTACTACGCCACTGCTACTGTTGCTGCTACTACTACCACTACTACTGGAAAAGATTTTAGAGGTCAGAAGAAAGTCAGCATCACCTAATTATGCTGTGCTGAGCAAACGCTTGCTTGCATTTTGGTTGTTTATGGAGTTGGACAAAAAAATTATTCCACTTGTTCATTTTAGGTCCTTTCATCCAGGCAGCTAGGTGGTACAATGGATAGAGCTCTGGGCCTGATATCAGGAAGACCCAAGACCATATTTTACCTCAGATACTTACTATGTGACTCTGAGTGAATCACTTAACCTCTCTTTGCCTCAGTTCCTTCAACTGTAAAATGAGGATAATAATAGCACCCACTTCCTAGTGTTGTTGTGAGGATTAAATTAGATCAGATGAGATAATGTTTGTAAAGCCCTTAGGACAGTGCCTAGCATATAGCAGGCATTTAATAAATGCATATTCCCTTTCCTTAAACTTTCTCACATTGATTTCTCCTTTTGCTAGCCTGTATCCCATTCAAATCATCCCAGGGAATCAACTTTTAAAAAGTCTGGAAGCCCCTAGAGCGAAAGAAATTCTTTTCATCTCCCCCACCCAGAATGCCTTTAGTGAACATGCAAATTAGCTTGGGAGCAAGACTGAAAAGGGCCAGATGCAACTGGCAACCTTTACCATCAGCAACTTCAATTAACATGCTCCCTCCATCTATAAAACAAGAGCACTGGTTTAGATAATTTCTAATGAATCCTTCAGCTCTTAATTCTAATTCTGTGATAAAGGGGCAGAAATAAACTAGTTTTGAGAGAGTGGTCTCAACACTGGGAAAAGTGTCCCCTCTTCAACTAATCAATCAATAACCATTTATTAAGCACCTACTATGTGCCAGGCACTGTGCTCTTAATATTTATCTTATAAACTGTGGCAACAATTATAGATGTTCATAGAATTTCTTTTTTTTTTTTAAACCTAAGCCAGAAGGAATAAAAATGGAGATAACATGGTAGAATAGATGACAGCTCTTTATCTGGAGACATATCCAGCCCTGTCACATATTGTCTGTGGGACCTTAGGCAAATCACTTTGAAGTCTCTTCTAGCTCTCCATCCACGATCCACAAGCTATTTGGGGGAAAGTGTATTCTTTTTTCTCTTTTTCTTTTTGTTAGGCAATTGGGGTCAAGTGACTTGCCCAGGGTCACACAGGGAAAGCGTATTCTTTTTAAAACACCTATGTCATAATTTGTGGGGAACATTAAAAATATTCCTAGAATCTTTTTTTTCTTTTTTTTTTTACCTAGGCCAAAAGGAATGAAGCAGTCTCTCTTGACAAAGTTTCCAGTGGCATCAAGAAAGTGAGCAGGGTTGAACTGGTGAGGTGTCTCCCACTGTGTTTCGTCCTTGAAAACAGAGGAGAACAAGGGAATCACCTCTGTTCCCTGAAAGGAGAAAAATGACACTGGCATCATTACAGAGCCATACACTGTTCCCATGTACATCTAAATATTCCTTTTGAAAGCACTTCCCTCCTGCCTTTTGCTTGAAGATGTGGGAGATCAGTGGGGTGGAATACTGTACTCACTGGGAGGGGTAGTCACTATGGTAGTTGGCTTTGCTTTACCGTTTTTCTTTCTTACAATGGAAAATGCACTGGGTGGTGGGAGTGGTGGGGCCAGGATATCCAGAAATGACTGTTATTTAAAAACAAAACACAGTAATAAAACTTTTTAAAATATCTTTTTAAAAATTTATCATGGTGAGTTGCCTGGTTTTACCAAACTGCTTTATTTCATCTTTTCAAATTCTTTATTACAAGAGATGGCTTAATGGGTAGGAGAAGGGGACATATTTTTAAATGAAAGGGATGTAAAAATAAAAAGGGTGGTTAGGGGACCCAGTGGCTAGTGCACTGGGCTTGGAATCAGAAAGATTCCTCTTCATGAGCTCAAATTCAGCCTCAGACACTTACTAGCTGTGCGACCTTGGGTGAATCACTTAACTCTACCTCAGTTTCCTCATCTGTAAGATGATCTGGAGAAGAAAATGGCAAACTACTCTGGTGTCTTTGCCAAGAAAATCTCAAATGGGGTCATAAGGAGTTGGACACGACTGAAATGACTGAACAACAACAACAAAAAGAATTTATTCTATTGGACCCCAAAAGATAGGACTAGGAGCTAAATTAAATTAAAATTGCCACAAGTCTGATTCCAGTGCAACATAAGGTAGAACTCCCTAACTATTAGCATTGTCCCAAAAGGAGGATGGGCTGCCTCCAGAGACAGACAGTAAGTTTTCTCCATCTTGGGGGGGTCTGGGGGAGGGGGAATAGATCTTGTTACAAGTGGATGTTGGACAGAGACTTGCCAAGGTTTCATAAAAGGGATTTTTTGTCAAGACCACCTTGAATTATATGACCTCTGGGGTCCTTCCTAACTCTGAGATGCTGGAACCAGAAGCTCCCTAAGCTCACTTTTTTTTTTTGGCTAGGCAATTGTGGCTAAGTGACTTGCCCAGGGTCACACAGCTAGTAAGTGTCAAGTCTCTGGTCTGAGACTGGATTTGAACTCAGGTCCTTCTGACTCTAGGGCCAGTGCTGTATCCACTGCACCATCTAGCTGCCCCAAAACTCTTTTTTTTTAAGTGACTTGCCCAGGGTCACACAAGTGTTATGTGTCTGAGGCCAGATTTGAACTCAGGTCCTCCTGAATCCAGGGCCAGTGCTCTATCCACTGTGCCACCTCGCCGCCCCCCTTAAGCTGATTTCTAACCCTAGGTCACCCACTGCATCACCAGCCATTTCGAACTTTGTCTTTGCCACTGGACTTTGATGACTCTGGAGGAGATGACTGATGACTTTGCACAGGTCTGCCCCACTCATATCCAATTCTCGTAAGTCAAGAAGTTATACTTATAAGGGGCAGCTAGGTGGTACAGTGGATAGAGCACCAGCTCTGAAGTCAGGAAGACATGAGTTCAAATACAGCCTCGGACCAAACACTTGACACTTACTGGCTGTGTGACCCTGGGTAAGTCATTTAACCCTAATTGTCTAAAAATTAAAAAAAATTTTTTTTAAAGTTACACTTATGATGTTATTAGTCCTCTTTGAGAGCAAAGGATGAACAACAGTAACAGCAGCAACCCCAGGGAGTTCCATGAGGTTCAAATGAATTGATAAAATGTAAACCATTGAGAGGCAGAAAACCCTCCAGTGGTCACATCAATAACGTTTCCCACTGACAACCTCAACATCAGGAATCCAAGTGAAGAGGGGCCCATTTTCAAAGAACCAAATTCCATAATTTCTTTTTAACAGTACGCACCTCAGGAATTACATATCCCCGAAATTTTGTGTCAGCAAGAACGCTGCGGGACACACCCATTGGCACAATGTTGGCAAATCTCTGTATTTCATGGATCACTGCCTCCGTGTATGGCATATTTTTTCGATCTTGTGCCTGAGGGTCTCGTCTGAGACTAATGACTTTATTGATTTCAGCTTGGACCCTTCCTTAAAAAGATGTAACAAACAACCAAAAAAAAAAAAGGGAAGAGAGGTAACAATGAAAGGAAGGTAGTATATACAGACCCCAAATTATATCATAAAGCAATCATCATTAAAACTACTAAGGGGCAGCTAGGTGGCACGGTGGATAGAGCACCGGCCCTGGATTCTGGAGGACCCGAGTTCACATCCGGCCTCAGACACATAACACTTGCTAGCTGTGTGATGCTGGGCAAGTCACTTAACCCCACTGCCTAAACAAAACAAAACACTACTAGCACTAGTTTAAAAAAATAGAAAAGTAGATCCATGGCACAGAGTAGACAAAGAAGAATTAGAAACAATTGAATTGCATAACTCAGTGATTAATTAGCCTGAAAGTATAAATTTGGAAATGTAACCTTTTTTTAAAGTAAACTACTATATTTGTTTAGGATTCTTTACCCTGTTTTTGGGGCAGTTGGGTGATGCACCAAAAAGAGCACCAGGCCTGGAGTCAGGAAAATTCATCAACCTAAGTTCAAATCTGGCATGAGGCCCTTACTAGCTGTGTGACCCTAAGCAAGTCACTTCACCCTGCTTGCCTCAGTTTCCCCATCTGTAAAATGAGCTGGAGAAGGAAATGGCAAACCACTCCAGTATCTTTGCCAAGAAAAACCCAAATAGGGTCATAAAGAGTCAGCCTGGACTGAACAAGTCTCTGTTCTTTGGCAAGTTCTTTATTCAGATGCGACCTTTTTACTATGTAATTATTTTGTTGGCAAGTATTTAACACCATGGGGGCAGGGACTATCTTACCTGTGTGTGCATGTGTGTGTGTGTGTGTGTGTGTGTGTGTGTGTCCCCAGAGTTTAGCACAGTCCCTGGCACTTAATAAATGTTGGTTGATTGATTAACTATGGTCTTTGGAGTGAATAGGAACCTGTTGAGACAGTGGAGATGTATTGGAAGGGTGATTGTCTAGGGTCAGGACACCAGTATTCATTGAAACATAAATTTAAAACTGGAAAGGAACCTTCAGGTCATTGAATCCAGACCTTTCAATTTACAGATGAGGAAACTAAGACTTGACTATGTTTGACTATGTGATTGACTATGATCACGTGGGTAGTATCTGAGATGAGATTCAAACACAGGACTTCCTGACTCCAAGTCCCACACTCTAGCCACCATACCATACTACCCAGCTCTGCTATTAATGAACTCTGTAACCTTAGATAGGTCACTCTTAGCCTCAGTTTCTCTATCATTTGTATAAATTTTACAAAAGCTTATAAGTGTACATGGTGTATACTCTCCTACCCCACCTCCAATAGAATGTGAAATCCTTGGAGTCAGGGATTATTTCATTTGTATTACTGTATTTCAATGGCTAGCACAATACCTGGCACATTGTAGACACTTAAAAAATATTTATTGTATAAAGTGTGGTGACACCTTCTGTAATCCTTGCTGCTGGAGAAGACTGAGTCCAGTGGATTGCTTGAGCTCAGGAGTTCTGAGCAGCAGCAGGACTAATTCAATTAATGTGAGCCCTTAGCACTGGGGGGCATACCAGGCTGCTGAAGGAGGGACAAACCAACCCAGGTTGTAAAAACAGAGCAGATTGAAGCTACCATGCTGATTAATATTGGGATCAGGTCTATGAATGGCCACTGCACTCACAGCTCGGGCAAGATAGAAAGACCCAGCCTTCAGAAATACATAAATAAACCACAAATAGAGTGAATGAATGCTTGCTTATTGATTGATCAGCCTATAAAATGAAGGCGTTTGACTAGATGAATTTCAAGACTCTCTCTAGCCATAACATTACATGATTCTTACTTTGAACCTCAGGATATTTCATCATCAGAAGAAGGCCCCAGCAAAGTGTTGTCGATGTTGTCTCTGTCCCAGCACTAAAAATATCCAGTGTGCTAAAGAGTAGGTTTTTCTTGTGGAATTCAGGCTTTGGATTTTGACTTTCCTACAAGACACACATCATCATCCATAGTCACTGTTCACCGTTGCTCTGTTTGCAAATGTTTAGCAACCAGCTCTCCAGGGAAGGAAATGTACATAGGACACACTTTTAATTTTAATAGGTATTAATATGCATTCTCTACCACTTTCTTAAGCCTAGACAATCAACAAAACAATAAATCAAATGCTGATTTATAGCATTTGCTGATTTCCAAAGTGTAAATGCTCACACTGAAAATTGGATACTTTGGCTTGCAAGCCTGTATGGGCTGGCTGCAGCACACCTCTGACTGTGTGATTCTGACCTGTAAGGAAAATGGATGCTACCACTCTGAGAACCAGTAGCAGAAAATAGATTTTAAGCTTGCTATCAAGGGACAAAAATTCCACCAGAATGCTCATGATAGAGATTCTACAGATTTCTATGCAAAGACCTGGCTTAGTGCTATTATATTTAGAAGCAGTGCCAAAGAAAGAAGGGAAGAGATAGGGAACAAGCATTTATTAAACACTCACTGTATGCTGTTCTAAATGCTTTACAAATATTATCTCATTTGGGCTTTACAATAACCTTGGTAGGTAGGTGCTTTTATTATCCTCATCTCACGGTTGAGGAAACAGAGTCAGACAGAAGTTAAGACTTGCTCAGGATCACATGGCTAGCAAGTGTCTGAGGCTGGATTTGAATTTAGGTCTTCCTAAGTCCAGGCCCAGTTCTCTATCCTCTGCACCCCCTAGCTTCCCCTGGGTGGGGTTGTCATTGGTCAGTCATTCCAGTCATGTCCAACTCTTTGTGACCCCATTTGGGGTTTTCTTGCCAAAGATATTGGAATGATTTATTTTCTTCTCCAGCTCATTTTATAGATGAGGAAACTGAGGCAAACAGGTTAATTGACTTGCCCAGCGTCACACAGCTAGTAAGTGTCTGAACCCAGATTTGAACTCAGGAAGAGAAGTCTTGGTCAGCTAGGTGGCACAGTGGATAGAGCACCAGCCCTGAATTCAGGAGGACCTGAGTTCAAATCTGGCCTAGACACATAACACTTAATAGCTGTGTGACCCTGGGCAAATCACTTAACCCCATTGCCTAGCCGAAAAAGAAACAAAAAAAGAGGAAGAGAAGTCTTCCTGATTCCTGGATCCAGGCTCAGAAAACTCCAATAACTCAACTTCTAGGGACTGATAAATGGGGATAATAATATTGGACCCATCACATGGGTTTCTTAAGAGAGTCAAATGACATAACCCATGTGACAATGACTTGAAAAATTTAAAGGCCTATAGCAGTATAAGGAATTGGACAAGATGATCTCTATGGAATTTTCTAGCTCTAAATCCTAAGATTCTCTGACCTCACTAAAATGTATTTCCTGAAGGCCAAGAACTGTTCTATTTGTATCTCTAACAGTATAGTGTCTGACATTCGTTAACAATTGAATGAATGAATGAATGAGTGGAAATTACAGGGAGGCAATAATAAATGGAACTCCCAAACACTGAGAGCTATCTAAAGGTGGAATGAGAAGCCTGGAGAGGTAATGAGCTCCCTAGTCACGGAGGCTAGATGGGTAGCTATAGAGAATTTCGTAGAAGGGATTGCTTCTCCAAATTGAACTAGATGACTCTGGAAAACCCTTCTAATTCAAAGATTCTGTGATGATTCCATAATCATGTGATCATGTATCAATCACCACATGAAAACTGGATCCAACTCCAGCTGTGGATGCTTACTAGCTGGGTGACTTCTCTCAAACTCCATTTCTTTATGCGGATAACAAGAGCACCTACCTCATAGGAATTGCTGAATTCGTGCATAGTACTTTGAAAACATTAAATTGCTATGTAAATGGATGGTATTATTGTTGTTATCTTTGTTGTTATTAACCCTATAAAACTCGGTATGGAAATCTGCCAGGAAAATTGATAGAGCTCAAAGTCCTGGAGGGTCATGGAGCGACTCTGCAGTTAACATAGAAACTATGCTTACCTGCTGCTGTTTTAACAAAAAGGAGTCCACAAAACCAGTTAAATGACTGACATTAAGATGGAGGGCATGTTTCTCAAATAGCTTGTGAAAGAAATTGGTGATCTCCTGAATATTCTGTAGGACCCTCCTGTGGGCTCCAATCAGGAATCCCAGAAAAGGAAAGCAATTATATAGCTAGGCAGAAAAAAATGAGAAAAGAGGTAGTTATTGCAAGCATGCTGATTACCATAGATTAATAGCTGCCATCTGGGAGAACAGAATGAAATCTGCTTATATTTTTTGCATAAAATACTTCCTCTCCACAGAAGGCCTGAGAATCCTCACAGTCCTACCTTAACACATTTTATTATGTGTGTCTCCTCCCTCCCCACCCTCCACTTATAGGACCCAGCCACATGAGTCCTTATTAATGCTCCTTTTATTTTTTTTTACACAGCATTTTTGAAAGGACTGAGAATAAATATCCGCTAATGTTCTACTTTAAAAAATGCTTACTTGAATCTAATTAGACCAATATGTGTTTGAAGTGATGGCCTTGATAATGACTAATAAAATATGCTTGGGCATACTCAAATATACTTTCCAAAGTATGTATTCAAGTTTACATAAATTCAGGTTTCTCAGATGCACACCTTTTATTGTTTCAACGGAATCTGCTACCCCACCAAAGGCATAGTATTTGCTATTTCTTTTTTTTATTTGCTTTTGTTTTTTTTTTTTTAGGCAATTGGGTTTAAGTGACTTGCCCAGGGTCACACAGCTAGTAAGTGTCAAGTGTTTGTTCTGAGGCTGGATTTGAATTCACGTCCTCCTGACTTCAGGGCCAGTGCTCTACCCATTGTGCCACCTAGCTGCCCCAAAGTATTGCTATTTCTAATCATGCCCCATGCCCACCCTGGAGCATGAGGCTTTCTCCTCCTGAAATGCTGTCCACGCTTCTCCCCACATATCCCCAGTTACCTCCAAATCCCCATTCAAACATCAGACTGATCAGACTAGTTGCTAGTGCCTCCCCACCAACGCTCGCCCCTCAACAAACTAACTTCCATTCATTTTCTATATACAGGATGTCCCAAAAGTCTTAGCAGATTTTAAGTTCTTACGGTTTTAAGATGCACTAAGACTTTTGAGACATGCCGAATTTTGTGTATACTTAACTGTGGGTGTGTTGTCCCTTCCCCACTTCCTACCCCAGCCCCAGGATGTAAGCTCATTGAGGGCAGGCGACACTTCATTTACCTCCAGAGCCCAGCACAGCACCTGGCACATGGTCGGTACTTAGTGAATGCTGGTTGAGAGACTGATTAATGCAAATCTTGCCCACCCCACCACTCTCAATTCAAATACCTTCTTCTGTGTAAAGGACCATCCCCCTCCCAAAGGGATTTCCCTCTTCTTTGAACTTACACAGCATTTCCTGTTTACACCACTCTTTTGGGAAGAAATGATGAACTGACTCATGACATCTCTTGCGTTGTTGGGTGCTGTTGTTCACCCTCCATTTTTTGAAGAGGGCCAATGACATCACGGGGGAAATGTCTTGACTTACACATGAGTTGGATTTAAGGGAGGCAGAGCTGCACAAAGTTAGCAGCCTCACTCTCTTCCAGAGTCACTGACGTCCGGTAGCAGGACAAACGTCAAGATAACTAGTGATGACCCAGGATGCAATGGATAACCTCAGCATCTTCAATGTCTGACCAAGCTCTAAGCCCTCCACAGCCCCTGCTTCAGCTTCCTTCGTGGCTATTGGGACATATTGTTCTTATCCATCCATTCTGCCAGGGGAAGAATTCCCCTAATTCACTGACAGGTTTGAGGTCTATCAGTTACCCGCAACCCCGCGTAGCCCAGTCTGCTGAAATGGTTTACCAGGGTGTGGTCACTGGCTGTGCTACAGTTTCTTGTTGGGTAGCCTCCGGTCCAGTACAGATCTGGACTCACCTGGACCTTAGAGTGCCTATCTTAGAAGCTTTTCAATAGCCAATACTCTATAGGGCTTGTGTTTTGACCCTCACCCAGACAAATCTGGGAACATAGAATCTAGCTAACATGAACTCGGGGATATCACGAGGGTACAGTGACACCCACAAGCAACCAAGGTTTCTTAGGGACATTTGATTATGGTGCATATTACAAAACAGATAAAAGGCATAAATGAAACAAGCAAGGTACAAACTCATAATATCAATAAAGAAATCACTCCTAAATGGGAAGAGTTGGAGCTTCCCTAGTGAGATCCATCACGGAGTCCCTTCCTGCCTCTGGTTTTCCCTTGGAGTCTTGAGTGGTCAGCATTTGTCAGGCCCTTCAGCATCTGCACCGTGCAAACATGTTACAGTAACTTCCAGAGATCTTGCTTCTGGTGCTGACCCAACAACACCTCAGCCAGTGGCTGCCATTACTTTCAGACACTGTTCCCCAGTGGCCGAGGCTTGCCTTCTTGCTCCCAGAAGTCTCTACTCAGTGCCAACAATCTGCATTCCCCTGCGCATGTTGGGCCCACAGCATTCTGGGAAATGCAGAGTTTGTTTCTTTCTAATCAACAATCACCCTTCTCTTCCAAAGGGCAAAGAAAAGGAGGAAAAACTCAGAGCAATTGTTTGGAAGTTAGAGAACCTGGGTAAAATTATGGTTCTGCCACTTATCATCTGCATGACCTTCACTTAAGTCACTAACCCTCTCAGGGCCTCAGTTTCCTGATCTATACAATAAGGAGGTTAGACCCAATGATCTCTAAGGTCCCTCCCAGCACTAAATCTATGATACCTCACATGCCTTCCACATTGTCTCCCAAGTTGAAGAAATTATGGCACTTACAAATTAAAGCAAGTTCACAGGCACATTACATAATAATAGGCATAGTACATATTTTTCAACATGATATAGCAGGATGGTGTACAGTAGACTATGCAAGTATATAGTATACAACAGCCAATGTTAATTATCCAAAGTAGACCAGATGCATGAATCATATAGAGATACATTATTGTTGTTGACTCATTTCAGTTGTGTTCGACACTTCACGACTCCATTTAAGGTTTTCTTGGCAAAGGTACTGGAATGGTTTGCCATTTCCTTCTCCAGCTTATTTTACAGATGAGGAAACTGAGGAAAACAGGGTTAAGTGACTTGTCCAGGTTCACACATCTAGGAAGTGTCTGAGGCCAAATTTGAATTCAGGGAGATTGCATCTTCCTGACTTTGGGCCTGCACTCTGTGCACTATGGCGCCACCTAGCAGCCATGAAGGCGTGTACCACAAAACATTTGGCGTTAAGAGTCCTGGGTACCTTTCATACATAGCCTCAATTAGCCAGGTGCCACCCTGCCTCAAAGGTAGCAGTCATTCCTGGCTATATCAATGACCATCCTTCTTACGGTGCTATACATCAGCCTTGTCACCAGCTGGGGCTGTTATTTCTAGGTCTTTGATTTCTTTACCTTCTAAAGGCAATCTAGTATTCTCAAGCCCGCCAGCCTTAAGTTCCAAACCAGGGCCCACAGGTGGTCCAGGTAAGATGGTATGATCCACAGACCCTCAGGCAGCCTCTCTAATCACCATCATTCTGTTAGTACAAAACTGTCCTCCAAGCCATCTAGGCTGGCAATAATGTGTTATCATAAAAAGAACTCATATTTATTTAGCATTTTAAGGTTTGTAAAGCACTTTACATGTATGAGTTCACTGATCTCACAACAACCCTATGAGTTGAGGGTTACTATGAACTCTCCCAGTACAGATAAGGAAATAGAAGCTTAGACAGGCAAAGCATCTTGCCTAGGATCACACAGCCACCAAGCATCAAAGGCAGGATTCGAACCCAGATGTACTTGATTTTAGCTCCAACACTCTACCTACTTAATATGTTGCCTCTTCACAAAGGATTTGCTTAGGTCAGCAAAAGCCAGCACTGGTGCCTGAGAGACACAGCAAACCAGGGCCATTAAACTTTGATCACTCTTTCTCCCCCTTCAAAGCAATTGTGAGTTTATTTAGAATAAGACAATAAATAATAACTAAGTGGTACAATAGATAGGGAACTGGATCTGGAATCTGGAAGACCTGAGTTCATACTTGACCTCAGATACTTAGTAGCTGTGTGACCCTGGACAGGTCACTTAACTCTGTTTGCCTCAGTTTCCTCATCTATAAGATGGTAATAATATCACCTACCTCCCAGGGTCATTGTGAAGATAAAAATCAGATAATATTTATAAAGTATTCAGCACACTGTCTGCTACATAGTAGGTACTATATAAATACTAGTTATTATTATCATTCCTTTCCCCTTATAGTAGGAAGAATATATAATGATGAAGCCTTTAAAAATAGATCAGAGATTTAGAGTTGTGTAGGATTATTTAAATTATCTAGATCAACTCCTTCATTTTACAGACGAGACCGAGGTCCAGAAGGTTGAAGTAACTTACTCAAAGTTACATGGGGGTAGAGCTGAGATTTGAACTCAGGTCTTCTGACTGAAAATCCAGCTAGTAGAAGCAGCAGAACCAGGGCTTTCAACAGCACAAGACTCCTAACTTTCAGTCTAGAGTTCTCTTCACCACTCTTTGCTGCCTCTCACTTAAATGTGCCTATCCTCTCTTTAAGAAACCACATGTATGCATCACTCACTCCTGCCAGAGAGGTAAGGAGTTTCAAAGTCACAGAGAAAGACGTGGGTTTTGGGGGCCTGGCCAATGTGGAAGTTTGTTTTACTAGATTATATATATATATATATATATATATATATATATATATATATATATATATATATATATCTTTATCAGGGCAGCTACGTGGCACAATGGATGGAGTACCATGCCTGAAGTCAGGAAGATCCTAGTTCAAATACTACCTCTGACACTAGCCATGTGACCCTGGGTAAGTCATTTAACCCTGTTTGCCTCAGTTCCTCATCTGTAAAATGAGATGAAGAAGGAAATGACAAACCACTCCAACCTCTTTGCCAAGAAAACCCCAAATGGGGTCACAAAGAATCAGATGTGACTGAACAACAATACATATTTATGATGAGATTTTGTTTTTAGGGTTTTGTGTGTGTGTGTGTGTGTTTTCAAGGAGTAGAAGGAATAAAAAAGATATAAACTCATGTAAAAATAAATGTATTTTTTAAATAATAAAGGACTACATACATATGTAGTCCTTTTAGG